AACGACAAACTTGTTTGCATTTCATACACTCAAAACTTGATTTTTCTTAGTTTTTTTTCATTCCATTTTTTTTTTTTTTTTTAGAATAAAATTATCACCCAGTCACAGTGACGAAATATATATATATATATAAATATATATTATACATTTATTACCGAATCCTATACTGTGGTTTTTTAATATTTTATTGTTTACTTATATATACTATATATTTAAATTAACTTATGGATTTTTTTTATCAAATGTTTTTCAATATTTCCATTTGGATTTCAGTGAAACACTTTTTTTTTTTTCACACAAAATATGAGTATGTTATCAACTATACAGTAATGTTGAATGACGGTAAATTCGTTTAACGTTTGAATCTATAATTGAACTTGACGGAAACTTTATACTAGTTGGAGCATATTCAGACTGGTACCTTTAATATTATTACTATCAAAATTGTAAACTTTCAAACTAAATCAAAATGTAACGGTTCAATGATATTTAAACAGTATTTACACGTAGAATTACAGTGAAATATAATTATTTTAATACTTTGTATTTACATTGTTTCACTCTAAGTTACCAACTATGTTATAAATATAATATGATACACTTAATTATAATAATATTATAATATTATAGTAGAACCTAACCTAACGCGTTTAATTCTTATTTTCTATATGTATCATTTATTTGTAGTTGAGACAAGATTAGAAATAACAATATTATAATAGAAGATCAACGTTATTCAAACAATTGATGAGCCGTGCAAATTTTAATTATGTGAAAATAAATACGAGTAGGAAGATAATATATACTATATTATATGAAATAACGCTAAAAAAAATATTTAAAGGAACTAGTATTTATTATCGGCATTATAAAAAGAAAAATAAATGATGATGAACAACAATTATGTCCTATCGATTAGTTTTATATTGCGTACAGTGTGTACCTGTAACTAGCACTTAGAGGAGAAACGTAAAATGTAAATACGATTATAACTTTTTACTATTAATATTTTTTTTTTCGATACAACTTCATTAATTTTTAGTCTACATGTAAGTATCGTCTATAATAATATTAAGAATATAAATACTATATATTACTTATTATGTTTTAATTAGCTATAATTATTGTAAAACAGTCATCAGTTAATTCCGTTTTCTATTATTCTAATATTTGAATTATAATTTTACAATTTTTAATTCGTTATGTCTTTTTACTTCACACACTATATTGCTTATTATTTTAAAATATATTTTTCTAGTAAATTTCTTTTTATTAATTCAAATTTCAGGAATTTTCGACCAAAAATATCTCCTTTGTACACTTTGAATGATTATTCGTTATTTTATTTTGATACGCCTAATCATGGACAAATAGCGATAAACTATAGTTGTTATTTAGCTATATCTTTGACAAAAATCGTTTCTTCAGGTTATTATTTTTTGATTACAAAATTAAAAATGTAATTTCGAATATTATATGCATTATAGACAATTTTGAAAAAAAATTGTAAAAATTAAATATTTATTTATTTGTAGAGTATTTAGTATACTATACTAGTATGAAATAACAGTATAATTAATAATTGAAATAGTCGAATAAAAACATCACATTTGTTCGTATTTTAATAAAAGATGGGGAAAAGTAATTTTTATCGTGCCGAATATAAATCGAGCGGAAATTATGTGTCATGAATCGCATCAAAAATTATTATTATTGCTACTATTATATTATCGCCCATCGGTTGATTATATATGTATTAATCATCCATTAAAAGTTCGGCTTATAGTTTATAATTGCTGACCGCTGTCTACGATGTTAACGCGATAGTAACATTGTTGTCATTCTCTGTATACTAATTAATTTTAATATTTTTGCGGAATTGGACGTTTTACTTTTAATACTTTTAATTTGACGAATTTAATTTAAATAAGTATAATATTGATATAAAATAATATAATGACTCACTATACAAGAAAATAAAATAAATTTGATATTTTAAAACCAATAAGTAATTATGATAATATATCTACAAATCATATGAATGCATTTTGCATAAATTGTCGATTATTCACCTGGTACACAATTTAAAATATGTAGGTGTTTGCGAAATGTGCTTATACTAGCTATCAAATGAACTGAATCATATCACTTCAAGTAAATACTAATAATAATTTAATAAATCGTAAAAACTGAAAACTTTTGATGACCTAAGCATTTCATTGCCTTGGTTATCGATTAATTGCAAAAGGTATTAATCATTATTTCATATTTGTACTGTAATGAAAAAATAAACAAAATAGCGAATAAAGAGCTTGAAAAGTTTGAATGACACTTATTTATTTGTTATTTTGAGAAAATCGATTACAATATTTGAGATTTAGTTAGGAAAAATATTTATCATGGTTCTTAATGCGTATCAAGATTGTGAGTAGTCTCGGTAAGCAATATTTTTCAAAAACTTAATCGTGTTGTAAAAGTTAAAAGCTTTCCGAGAAAATTTGAGTGATACGGGGATTTCACTGTAAAAAGAATCTTCTCTTCCTGTCAGTGTAATGTTTCAGTTGCGTGACGTTTTAAAAATACTTCTATACTCATATAATATTATGTTACGCATGTACGTATTTTTAGTCAAGTAGGTATTATAGGTACTAAACTATATTAATATATCAATTTAGATACTATAAATTCTGCTTGCACAGAATATCAATCTTATGACAAATCGTTAATATGTACAATGAAGAAACTTTACGTTCAAACGAAAATTAAATTTAATTAGCTGCAGTCTTCGTGTACAATATTATATTATATCTTCAATGTAACCATATATAGGTATGACTTGCATAACTATCAACTTTTGCGTACCTAAATAATATACAATGTCGGTGTTTATAAAGGTATATCATTATAATATACCACACAAGTCCTCTTATTGGACCCAGTACTTATATGTATATGAAATTGGAATGAACAAATAATAATGCAAAGCTATAAAGCAAAAAGCTCGTGGACACGGAGTTAATATTTTGTTATTAATTACCTATTATAGTGGCTCATCTCCGTTGTCGGTATAACAAAATTTATATCAACAGTTATGTTCATAATTTTATAAGAACGCACAATGAATTTATAAATATTATATAACCAATATTATGCAATATAATTGCATTTGAATGTGTTATAATATATTTTATACATAAACGTTGAAATCGCGTGTTAAATTTAAATAAACCTAACAAATAGATCAGTACAATTTTATTTTTATTTTTTTACTCTGTCAGCGAATCGCCTTTCTTGTTCTAGTAAAATTTTCGTCCAAACAAAGATACCTATTACCTATTAACAATGGTATTAATACTTGATTTGAAGCACACATTTTTTTCATCCATTTGTTTTATCATACATTTTTATTGTATAATTAGTTAGTATACATAAGTACTATATTTTTAAAATATTATATTGTAATGATTTGTCTTGGGCCAAAACATACATCATTGTTGAACAAATGAATTTTATGCTCTGCTATGAATCCAATAAGAATTAACGCATCTAATAATACGCCCAACTCTTTCTCAACCAACATCATAAAAAGTTAATCCTAATATTTGTCATAGCCACATGTACTAAAATGTTTAACATAATGTTATATGACGGAAAGCTTCCTATGTGATGATGATACATAAATAATATCATTATACGCGTTAATGGTTGTCTCAAGTTTCCCCTCGTGTCGGTTGCAACCCGTTGACCAGCACTGTTTGTTATCCTTAAAAAAGGCACTTACCTTCAAGAGCGGACAGAATAAAGATGATGGACGTTGATATACATAATAAACATGCTGAAAATGACGGCTTATATATCGATAAGGTTTTGGGGTAAAGGCCGCGGTAGTATTGTTGTCGTAGTCGTCGTAACAGGATTAATGGCAACGGTCCTCGTGTGTATACTCGCGCGTACAAGTTCAGTGTTTGGAACATACGAGTAAAAATAAGTACGTGACACGAATTTTTTTCCTCCAACAAATTGCTCTATAACGCACTCAGTGCAGCATCAGTATAGTAGTGAGCGCAGTATGCACGCCGATGGTCGTACCGACTCGTACGAAACGACAACATAATGAATATGTATACACACACACACACACACACACACATTTATATATACATATAAATAGATATATGTGTACATCAAGTATACGAGTATACGTGTAATATACATCGCTCCACATGTCCGACGAGATAAGTCTGATGTATATCTCCATGACAAGTAGAAAATTGGAGAAACGTCGCGGGCGATTTATGTCTTTTAATAAACGATTTGTTTCCCGCGCAGTGCATTATCATAATAATAACTCGCCTCAGTCGGACGATGCCGCAGTATAAACCGAGTTACGTGCGCATTGCATACAATAATTTTATTACAATCGTATAACATAATAAAAAATGTACAAAAATAATAGTAATGTATAGTGTCATGACAGAGAAGTCTTATTTTTTTGTAACAAAATATTTTTAACAAATATAGAATCATATATAGAAGTCACGTGTAACGTTTGGATAATAATACATATTATATTATGACATACTTAATTAAAATTTTATAACATACGATGTTTGAAAATGAGTTAACACGGATTCACGGTGAAAGATATTGAACTATATTTGATTATCGTAAAATTTGTTACGATTATCGGGTAAAAAAAAAACAGACCTGTAAATATTGAGATTGGCTATCGTACTATAGACGAATTCTGTCTTCTGTATCAAGTTATTAGTCGACTATGTAAGTCTACAGTAGTATATAACGTGTATAAAATACACGTCGGACGAATTTGGTATTGCATGTCTCTCGATCATCACACTAGCGCGTTTTGATTTCTGTGAATTAAATGTTAAAATAACAACAATAATTATATGATATTAACAATGATGTTTCGCGACTTTACAACGCGATATTTTACTTTCAGTTTCTAACATATTTTATTTCTTTTTTCCTACCGACAGGTTCTCTCCGTACAATAAAGGACATATCCATCAGGGAGATGCTTCCGGACATCAAATACTATATGACATACGAAGGATCGACCACTCATCCTGGCTGTTGGGAGACAACTGTGTGGATAGTACTGAACAAACCCATTTACATAACCAGACGCGAGGTGAATGTATATGCTTACCATATATGTATATTTTATTATGTGTATTCGTGGTAATGGAAACACGACAGCGGCGGTGGCGGTGGAACACGATTAATTGCAGTAGCGATGCGACGAAAAGCAAACGCACATATTTTATTTCGTAACCTTTTTTTATCAATTTTTTTTTTCTATTCTCTCTTTCTCTAACTCTTGGTTTCACTATAACTCTGAGTATATCTTCCCCTCACACTCATTGCTCTTTGGAACGACGTGTTTTGTTAAAGCTGTCACTTTTGAATTAATGAAAAGTACCTTCTCTTTCAGTATACGTGTAACTTTACTCGTAAGTTTATTATTCGTTTGTTTACCATTTGAGTAAGCGTGTCACTTGGTACACCGCCACAAGCTGTACCACAATCACTTGTATAATATACTCGCACGGATGAAACACAACGCCTAACCCGATCATCGTCTTGTCATTGTTTCAGATGTACCACTTAAGGAAATTATCCCAAGGTTCAGTAGAACACCCAAAAGCTCCGCTGGGAAACAATTCAAGGCCAACGCAGGATCTACGTGAGCGGACTGTTAGGACGAATATTAATTTTGCGCAAAGAACCGAAGCCGATCCACAGGTAAAATTGAAAACCAAGATTTTTTAAACAAATTTACACACTCATAAGTATGTTAAAATATAACATACATATTTACTTTAGGTATATGTATATACGAAAGCGAATCAGCGGTGTGTCTTATGGCTATGAAATTTAATATTTCGGTCACTAAATCACTTGAGAGCTTGAACGTTAACCGTATTGCTAAACAATACATATTATATTAAGTAGCTGTTGTTATTGAACAGTAACGAGTTAATAGATAATAATATTATACTATACATTGAAATACGTAGGTACACAAAGATTCGATATTTCAAAGCATTTGACATATTTTTTAGCACTGCACGTTATTCGAGTTACGAATTGTGTTTAATACGAGATGTTTGCGTCGACTTAACACATAATATTCAATAAAAAAAAAAAAAAAAAAAAAACCAAAAAGTTTTATTTAAAAATAATTATCTGTTACACGTTAACGCGGTGGACTTCTTTAGCCATACATTATTATTGCAGTCGTTTGTTACTGGACGTTGACGCGTAACTCGAACACTTAACTCCGGATCATCGGCGACGCATAATAATTTGCATTCGGTCGACATCGGCAAACGACCGGTGTATCGGGCTCTCGAGTCGCTCAGCCGAACAAAGACCGCGCAGATAACAATAACGATTCGTCTCACGTTCAGTAATAACAATGATAATGATGACAATTGCCGTCGGCGGCGAGCACGCCTAGGTATATATATATATATATACACATATGCGCTCACCCACCCGCCCACGCACACACACGCGCTCGCATATATTCGTACGCGCACGTACACGCGCTCACAATTTATATTACATAAATAATACACTCGCTTGCGCGCATACGACGAGGGTACATATACGACGACGTCGAGACTTTAAGCGACAGAACGAGCGCATATTATAATATTATTATAATATATCACATGATACGATATCGTGTATGTATACGACCGAATGCCATTAGTGTCGGGACTTGTACGAAATCCGCGTACGCGCACAATACAATACCGTGCTCGGCGTATATATATATATATATATATATAAGTGTGTGTGTGTGTGTGTAGTGTTATTGTGATCGGATGTCTGTAAGCCTCGGCGGCGCGTGTGTTTGTTGGCGCGCGTCGTCGTCGCGTCACCAGTTATCGTCCCATTGAAATGCGCCACCGGTCTGAAATAATATTTATTTTCGCGCCGCTGCATTATATTTAACACTGCATTCATGTTACGCCAAAGCGTACTATGACGTGTGCGCTGTGCAAACCGCGTATCGGCTGGTAAATTCAAAAGCCATTATCCGGGGCGTGCGATGATGAGACGTGCAACAGACACTCGCTAATATTCGGTGTGCGCGTCGCCCGTTCCGTCGGTCAATTATTTGGGGGGGGCGAGCTTTTGACGACTCCGTAGCAGCCCGCGCAGAGCCCGCAGCAGTGGGTATAACATAACGTGTCACCGATGACGCCGATTCGACGTTTCACGGACGGCGCGAATCGGCGTTAGATCGAAATGGAGTTTGGAGTTTTGATTTTTTTCTTTATTTTTTTTTCGCCAATACCGCGGGACGCAGTAATGACGTGTTTCGATGACGTACGAGTGCCTATATGAGCAACGATCGGCGTTCGATACCTATTAAATACTACGGGAAACGACACGTTTGAATTGATTTTCAATAATAATTTAAAACGAGTTGACTGATGCAGTAAATGCATTTTCTAAGATATTACGTGTACCTACGAGTAGGTCAGTGGTGTTTTTCAATAGTTTAAGGATCGCGACACAAATCTATTCCCGAAAATTTTTCGCGATCCACGTGGTGTATTCACAAGGTTAAAAATTAGTCCTGAAAAATAAAATTTGATTACTGATATTATAACTATTATTACTTGATTAGTTTATAAATTATAATTACAACGATATTGGTATAGAATAAATACAATTTTATCAAAGTATTTTAATAGTGAGGCGTATGTGAAATATGAGCTTGTTTTCTTCTATGGTGGATTTAGGACCAACGTCAACGTCAATCTTGGCTATTTTTCAAATACAATAAGCTTGATATTAGTTATTCAATACTTTTATAATTAATATTTTAACTGTTTCAAAAATCATAAATTTCCTAGAATGTATATTATTCAAAAACTTTCTCACGACCCACAGTTAAGGAAACGCTTGTATAGGTAGTTCAAGTTGTTTACTTGAAATAATACAATGTGAAATTTAACGCACACACACAATATTTATTAACATGATTATAATATAATCAAATATTTTTAGAAGAACTTACCATTTTCCTGTAAAAAAATTACTTACTAGATTTCGCCTACACGAAAAAGATACCAAAATGCTGAGAAATATCAATCAAAAATGTCCAAACTTTTAGATTAAAGATTGCTGACGTAAGGTTGTCTAGCGGCGGGGTGATAAATGTTATACGGTTCAGTGATAGGGTGATAACAAACAAGTACCATAATAGGTATGTTTGAGAAAAATTACCGTGAAAATGCTTGTCATTTTCGTTTGAATAAGCTCTCATAAAATTGTTAGCATAAACCAGCAAACATTTCATAATATTAGATTATTCAAAATAATACAGTGCTTCAAAAAATGTTTATCACGCCAGTACTTTAATGTTGTAATTACACTTGTTTTTATTTAAAAAAAAATTGAATTGTAGCTTCTAATTTTAAGAGATATCAGTCAGGGATTAGGAATTGAAGAGAACTAGTCTTGGAACAGTACATTTTTTATCAGAATTATTCTTATGAAACCTTTATTTAATTTTTTTATTCGGATCAATAGTTATAGGCAAAAGCTAATACCTATTGTTACAATTTAATTACTTTGTGATATTTATTATATACAGTAGAACCTCGATTATCCGAACTAATTGGGACCACATTGAGTTTGGATAATATAAATTAAAAATAAGTCAGTTTTTAACAAACTGGCTAATTATATATGTAATACAAAAAGAATATAGATGTCTAGTATACAATATTTATTGACGAGCTAGACACACGTGAACGTCATTAAGATAAACATTATTAAATTACGTACATGTACGTATTATTATGCATTAATAATAAACTGCTATCGGTCATATTGTGTGTCGTGATATTTTACGCATTGAGTATTGGCGTTCGGATAAGAGAACGTTCAGATAATCGAGTTACTATTTACCTACCGTAGTAAACACACAGTTTTATATTTATACAATCATATAAATCTTTTAAAAAATGATGAATTAAATATAATAAATTATTTCAATACTAAAGCGAAAATAAATCAAGTGTTTAGAAAAAGTCAGAAAATGTTTTGGTCTCAATTTTATTTAGAAAAAATAAAGAGACATAATATTGTAGTTGACAATTTTTCCTATGCAGCCAATATTGAGATATATAGATGTTAACTAGTATAGCCTAAAAAATAATTTTTTCAGAAAAACTTAACAGATAACAGACATTTTTTTTTTTATATCTAAATTAAAATTAACGTTTTAGAACCAAACTGAAACCAAATAATTTATACATTAGGCATTACAATTCCTGAATCAGAATATCACTTCTTTGAAAAATATAGTCTATATAATATGAAAAAAATATTATAAAAATAGTAATAACAATACGATATACAACTTTTATAATATTGTGAGACTGCTTATATTATGATATTAATATTTCATTCAAAAAATTCTTACTGTAAAAAAAAAAAAAAACACTAACATAAAACGCAAAAGACCGTAACTTTATGCATGTACCGATAGTCGGCTACTGTAAATTAATTATTATTTATTAATATTTTTGAAGTGAAAATAATTATTACACTTAATTTGTCTGTTCTTATTGCGATGATAATTTTATTTTCCGAATGTTTTCGCGAAAGAAAACGGTACCGTTTTATATTGCTATCACCATTGAAAAGAAAAGGGGAGGAGGTATATAAGAGTTACAGACTTTGATAACATAAATCATTAATGTGTAGCGTTAAATAATTAACACTTTATTATTGATTTATTTAACAATTTTTTTTCTTTATTAAAGTTTTTATGTTTATATTTATAAATACATTATCAGCATTATGTTGGCTTAGAGACTTTGATGTTGAAAAGATTGTGTGGTGGTGTGTTCAATTTTAATTTGTAAGAGGTATTTTGCATGTGTTACACGGTGATCTAACTTCCTTGCTAATCAAGCATGAGTGTGTAAAATGTGAGAATCTCATTTTGAATCTATTTTTGACGATATTTGTTTTCTTCTAGTAAAGTAGTACAGATAAGCCTATTTGATAATTTGATTATTATTATTTTTTTTTAACACCAACCGTTAGTGTATTTATTTAAATAATTATCTTGTAATAATAAAAAAAAAAAAAATTACGTCACAATAACTGTTTTGGTTCGTCTCATCTCTCAGGTTTTTTTTTTTATTTATTAAAATGTGTAACATTTAATAAAATTTAATATAAACTATACACTGGTCTGCCGTCGATTGTTTGACGGTTTATTGCTCTTGCGCCCATAAACTTATAATACAATATAAAAATATGTAAATAATATAGAAAAACCCCATTTATGTTATATATGCTTAGTAAAAAAGAACCGCAAAAGTTGTCACGATATTTGATTTTTGCATATTTTTCATTATGTTGATGTAGTGTCTGAAGTTTAAATTTAATCACGTAAAATTATATTGTTAAATCGCATTACACGAACAAATACTTTCTTCTCTATAAAGTTAATTTAAACGTCGCGTATTTTTAGAACGAATTTATATTTTATGCAGATAAATTAATTTTGGTACTATACATAATATTATATAATATTACATACTGATATACTGAACAGTTATTACACTCGGAAGCAAATTTAATATGCCCCTACTATTATATATATTACCTACATAGGATAATATTATTATTATACACCCGGTAAAAATCAAAATTTGATATACTCTTTCTTCCAGAACAAACTTTAATATAAAGTTTCTCTC